GGAAGATGTAAATCATGTAGCCTGAAAATCTATATCTAATATGAGATAAAAATGCCTTTTTCCTTCAATGGTTCTACAAACGAAGTCCTGCTTGTATTAGCAGAGCCCAGTGAATTGTGAACTAACTGAGGTTTCTGTTAAATGGTTCCAGTTATTCTGTTTTGCAAGACTTTTCTACCCTCTTCAGGAATCCAATCACTGGCTTAGTGGTTAAGTTTGTGTGCTCCGCTTTGGCGGCCCAGGGTTCGCAGTTTCAGATCCTGGGCACAGACCTACGCACCGCTTATCAGGCCATGCTGTGGCGGGTGTCCTGCATATAAAGTAGAGGACGATGGGCACGGATGTTAGCCCAGGGCCAATCTTCCTCAGCAAAAAGAAGAGGCTTGACAGCAGATGTTAGCTCACAGCTAATCTTCCTCACACACACACATACACACAAAAACATTTTCTCAGAAAGTATCTGATATTGGTCATTTCTCACCCAGTGTGAATTTTAGCCTGGGTATTTCTTCTTTAAGGCATCTACCTAATGATTGATTGATTTTGTGTTGATCAATGGCTTTTCTTGTCTTGCAGTGATTATACCTCTCCAGGCCACACCATCCGTAGGTAAGTGGGTACAAAAGATGCCCAACACCCTCATTCTGTTCCACACTGGGATGGAGTAGTGCTCCTTTCTTACTGTTAGCATTTTAAAAAAATGCTCTTCTCCACATGATTTGGATAAAAGCTTCTTGTCTGGTTTGCAGATTTGTAGCTGACACAAAAGTGGGAAAAATAAAGAGAATTCGAAGTGCTATTAGTAGGATAGAACAGACAGAACACTGGAATCAACTAAGAAGGTAAAACCCAAGAGATAAAGGCCTATATTTAGCACCACATAAGCTTGATCTTATATTACACAGAAAAAAAATCCACAAAAACCTAACACAATGGGATTCCGTGTTGGTAAAGGTAGAGAGTCATGAAACTCTAGTCCCATTTTACTTAGCCACATCTGGAGAACGGGGTTAATGCTGCATGACACACCCAGAAAGGTCACTGACAAATTAGGAGCAGTTAGAGGAGGGCAGCCAGGGAATGGAGGGTCTCAAAACCCTTCATGACACGTCGCACAGTCCAGAGAGAGGCTTGAGCTGCCCTGAGTACCAGGAGGTCTGTCTCTCTGGGGAAAGAGTAGCCGTGCTTTATTCCATCCCAGAGGACAGAACCAGCGCTATCCAATACTGGAAGGCCTGCCTTGCAGGGCACTGAGTTTCCTGAAGTTTCAGGCTAGAGCTCAGTGGCCAACTGAAAATGATAGTGACCATTTACCTTTACTCATCACCAGGCACTGGTATAAAAAAGCACTTTTCATATATGCTTTTCCTTTTTTTTTAATTCTCACAACAGCCCTATAAGTTAGGTATTATAATTGTTTCTATTCTACAGAGGAGGAGACTGAGACTCAGAGAATTAGGAGCAGAGCTGGGATTTGAATCCGGGCATTCCAGTCTCATGCTGTCTCTAAAAGGTGTACTGGATGGATTTTCCCTCTGGGGTGTGCATTTAGCTGGTATAGACTCTAAGTTCCCTTCCATCTCTAAGTCTTTTTTGTAGAGATAGCCCTTGTTATAAAAGTAACGGTTGAAAATCCATCTATGCTTCATTTGTGCTTTGGATAATTTTGTAAATTTATTTGAATCCTGTGTATTTTAAGTATTATCTGGAGACAGAGCACAAATAAGATAAAAATTAGGGCACACAAATGATTTCCTCTTTCTTGGCAAGTGATTGCACATTCAAAAGTTAAAATATACCTCTTTTCCTTCTTGAATCATAAATAAATCCTGGAGTTCGTTCTAAATCTCTGTGAGCTATTAGAGTTGCTCTGAATGATTCAGATGAAAGAATAGAAAGGAAGGACATTACTATTTGGTGAGCATTTTCTAGATGCCAGGAACTGTGTTTGGAGATTTATGTGTTTATCTCACTTAATGCTTGCAGTGAGCTAGATATTATTTCCATTTTATCGATGAGTAAACCAATACTCAGAGGAATTACCCACCCAACACCACTACTAAGCTCTAGAGAATATATTAGAACCCAGAGGCATCTGGTACCCAACATGCTCTTCTAGCTCTACCATATTGCTCCTCCATCACGAACACCTGGATCTACTGGAGTTTGACCAAGTTCAAGGACACCATGTGGATTAGATATATTGGTACCTTGTTAGCCCCTTCTACACCAGCATGCCCACATCCTCTCTTCTGTCCAGAGCTTCTAAGAAATTTGAAGAAGAAGGAGTGTCCCCAAAGTCTGGGCATTCAGAGGGAGGAATTCTTACATGAGGTTTGGGTGCTTGATGAAGGTTTTTGCCTGTACATCTACTCCTTATTCTACTATTGCCACCACCACAGCCAAATGTTAAGGAACTCTACTAAATTTTAGGCATTCTATATTCATATATGCCATGTCATATCTCATTCTGACACGGCTGTGAAGTAAATATTAATAACCTCTTCTTACAGATGAGAAACAATGGCTCAGGGAGAGAAAAGAGATTTCTCAAAGTCAGAAACTCTGGAGTGGTAGGAAGAGAATCTGAACTCAGGTCTGCCTGGTTCCAAAGTCCATGCTATTTCTGCTACACAGTGCTTTATTTAAAATACCTGCACTACCACCCCCAAAGAAAAGAAAAGGAAAAAAAACAAAATACCTGAACCCCAAACCAACTGTAAAATGCCGTAGGTGGGCAGGCAGCTTTTCTTCCTCTGAAGTTCAGTCCAAAAACATCTCAAAGTAACCCACTGCCACTAATTTACCATACTTGAAAGTCATAGAAATGCAACTGATTTTTATATGTTAATTTTGTATCCTAAAATTTTACTGCATTCATTTATTAGTTCTAATACATTTCTTTTTATGGAGTCTTTAAAGTTTTCTACATATAAGATCATGTCATCTGTAAACAGAGATAACTTTACCTCTTCTTTTCCGATTTGAATCCCTTTAATTTCTTTTTCTTAACTGATTGCTCTGGCTAGAACCTCCTGTGCTGTGTTGAACAGAAGTAGCAAGAGTGGGCATCTTTGTCTTGTTCCTGATCTTAGAGGAAAAGCTTTCAATTTTAGCATGATGTTAGCTGTGGGTTTTTCATATGTGGCCTTTATTGTGTTGAGATAAGTTCCTTCTATACCTAGTTGGTTGAGAGTTTTTATCATGAAATAGTGTTGAATTGTGTCAAATGCTTTTTCTGTATCTATTGAGATGATAGTGTGGTTTTCATCCTTGTTTCTGTTAATGTGGTATGGCCCACTGATAGATTTGCGTATGTTGAATCATACTTGCATCACAGAGATAAATCCCATTTGGTCATGGTGTATGGTCCTAAACTGTTAGAAATAATAAATGAATTTAGTAAAGTTGCAGAGTATAAAATCAACATTAAAAAATCAGTTGCTTATCTATACATTAATAATGAGTTCATTGTTTCCTAAAAAGAAATTAAGAAAACAATTCCATTTACAATAGCATCGAAAAGAATAAAATACTTAGGAATAAACTTAACCAAAGAGGTTAAAGATTCCGGTGGAAGTAGGAGAAGGTGGGAGGTGAAAGCAAAGGTAGATGGGACAGTTCTGGTGATGTTCTAGCACATAAATCAATAGTGGGTTCACAGGCATTCATTCTATTATTACATTCTATAACATATATATGTTACATTCTTTAGTAAATATCAAATATTGCATAATAAAAAACAGTGAATTTAAAAAAAGAAAGTCACATCTTTGAGTCTAAGGTTGGATTAGGCCAGTAGTTGACCAGCCTGGTTGCACTTCAGAGCCACAGAAGGAAGAGTCAGTTCTCCTGAATTAAAATCTCTGATGTAAGCTCCGTTCAGGCAGAGATATTTGATTCCTTTACTTGCGTATCCTTGCACCTATACCAATGCCTGTAACCTTTTGGCAACGATATGTTAAATGAATGAATGTGTGAATAGGACTGAGAAATTCGCATTTTAGTAAAGCTTCCCATGTAATTCTGCCAGTTGGTCCACCAAACAGGACTGGCCTCTTCCTCTCTGACATGCCATAGATCCTTCCTCCTGACTAACAATTTGGGAATCATCACACAAAGTCTCATTTCAAGCATAAGGAACAAAGACGCGTGTCATCACCTCAAAAAAAATTTAAGAGAAAGAAAGGAGATACACACCTTGACAGAGATAATGTGAGACAGGCAGACTGACAGAGCAACAGGTGGCCAGGCTGTAGCCTCAGGTGGCTGAGGCCTGAAGAAGAGAGAGGGTGGGACAGAGAAGGCTTCAAAGCCCAGCCTGACAAGGGAACAACACTGGACTCCCAAACAACTACCCCTCTCCTTCTCCAGGGGTGCCAACTCTGTCCAGCCACAGTCCCTTATTGGTCCCCAACCCTCATGTGACACTTTTCTTGAAGTGTCGGCTCTCCTTCTCTTTTCCTCCTAGAAGCACCCAGAATGGGGTGCTCAATTCACTCGACCTCAGCAAGTCACCTCTGTGTGCTGCTACATGGCTCCACCCTGTGGGAAAGACCCAAACTTTCTGTATTTGCTATGTATTGCTGCATAACAAATTATTCTAAAACTTAGTGGCTTAAAATAACAGAATCACGGTTCCTGTCAGTTAGGAATCTGAGAGTGGCTTAGCTGAGTGGTTCTAGATCAATATCTCTTATGAAGTCACAGCCAAGCAATCAATCAAGTCTGCAGTCTCTGAAGGCTGAACTGGGGCTAAAGGAACCACTGTCATGCTCACTGGGCAGCTCTTCAGTTCCTTACCATGCAGGTCTCTCCACAGGGCTAGTGCTGTATAGTTTCCCCCAGAGCACGTAATACACAAAAGAGAGAGAGAAAGAACCTAAGATGGAAATTATTTTTTTAGTCACCTAATCTTAGAGGTGACACTCTATCTCTTCTGAGATATGCTATCAAGGACCCAGACCAACCCTGGTAGAATGTGGAGAGGATTATACAAGGGTGTGAATGCCAGGAGGCAGGGGTCATTGAGGCTATCTTTGAGGCTGGCTACCACTTTCCACTAATGGGCTTTCAAGTCCTATGGGCCCTTCAGTTAAAATGAAAGTATTTCCAGAGAGGGTTAGCATATTACCAAGATATTAGCTGATTAACCAGGTAGTTGCCACTGTGAAAAGCAGATAGTAGATGGACAAGTTGTGTGTGGAGGGGGAACGAGAGACGAGAGAAAACTTTCTCTGGGGAGTTCTGGAGGTGGGTCAGTGGGAAAGGATCTACTATTTGTGGGAGGAGGTCTTAGGACAGTATGAGGATAGAGACACCAAAACGCAGAATCCCTGTCTAAGAGGAGGAGATAGAGCGGGAGTGGGGAATGGAGAGACATTCCATTCAGCGTCTTTGCAAACGTCACCTGCTGAGACCTTGGCGCTGTGCATCTGTGGAGTCTGTGCAGGAATGGGGGAGAAAGCAGGTGCGCAGCCTCACTGCTGGTTAATTAAATGTTGCTTCCAAGGCGGCTGGTGGAATATGTGCGCTATATACTAGCCTCAGTTTGGTTTTTCTCTCTTTTCCTAAATCACACATTTTAATTAACCTTCAAGCCCTTGCTGGGCTCTGAAAGAACTTAATTGGCCTGCAGGGATTGGAACACGCAACAGCCAGAAAAAGGCTACATCTCAGTTGTTTTCACTCTGAGGACTTATAAAATTGAAATCATTGTTTCATTTCATTCTTTGAAGCTCAGAGCTACATGGGGATTCTTATTTGGAACGGGCAGAAGCATCCTTGAATGCGTAAGTGAGGATTGCAAAAGGTGTTGAAGCAGCAGTTACATGTGAGTATGGGATACTTGAACCTTTCATCTTGTGCCTTTGCGTTTGCAAGAAGAGTTGAACTCTTATTGGTTTTTTTTTGGCTTCCTCGTTGAAGATGAGAAATATTTTGACCTAAATTTAAGATGCAAATTTTCACAGTCGGGTGGGAAATCTTTTAAAATCAGGACCCCTTAAGAGATTTCCAGACGTTTTCAGTTTTGTCGAAAGTAATTCTGAGAATCACAGTCAATGTGCATATTTTATTGTCCATATGAAAAGCAGCTCACAGGTACTTATTGAAAACCAACGATATATGGAGATCAAGGCTATAGGTTAACACTATGTGTCTTCAGAATGGAGAGCATAATTCTCAGGATAAAGCCATAAGAGTGAGCAAGTTCACCAAAGGAGCGAGACAGGGAGAGAAGAGCAGAGGGGCGAGAACTGGTGTGCTGACAATCTAGAGGAAAGGAAGCTAGCAAAGGTGATTGAGAGGGAGTAGACTATGAGGTAGGGGGATGCCCAGGAAAGAGCAGTGAAGAAAATTAGGGAGGCGTCTCAAAAAGAGAGTGGTCAACAATCTTAAAAGTTGCAGAAATATCAAGGAAAAAAACTAGATATAACAAAAATGGGAGGTGAGGGGGTGATAGATTTTCCGTGTTCGGTTTTATTTTGCATCAAAAGTTTACCAAGGTCCTTTTGCCTACTGTGTCAGTTACCTATTGCTGGGTAAGAAATTGGTGGCTTAAAGCTATAACTGTGTATTTGGTCACAATTCTGTGCATTGGCAATTTGGGCTTATGATTCTGCACCCATTTACAAGGTGTGGGTTTTCCTCCCACAACACCAGGCAATTTTCTGATGCCAGCTGGGTGTCTTACAAGTCAACTCAATTCTGTCACTATTTACTTGGAGACAGCATCAGGTCCCACAGGCTAAGGGCTCAGTTCTATAAGACTGCCCACACCCCCGTCAGATGCCAACGGCAAGTCCAGGTTGTCACATGTGCTTCTGACTATTGGAGGTTCCAGCAACCCCCTCCTTGGGTGCACTTAATTTGCTAAAGCAGCTCGCAGATCTCAGAGAAGTATTTTGCTTACTACATTACCAGTTTATTATGAAAGGACAAAACTCAGGAACAGCCAGATGGAAGAGATGCGTAGGGCAAGATATGAGGAAAGGGCGCAGAGCTTCCATGCCCTCTCTGAGAGCTGAGAGCGTGCCACTCTCCCTGCACCTCTACATGTTCACCAACTCGGAATCGCTCTGAACCCTACCCTTTTGGGTTTTTATGGATGCTTCATTACATAGGCATGATTGGTTAAATCAATCGTAAGACTGAACTCAGCTGGGAAATCCTTTGCTCCTCTAGTGGTAGCTGGACTCATTTACATGTTCCCAGAAAGTTCGTTGATCAGCTCAGGGCTAGCTGCTCCTAGATGACCTCATTTGCATGTCTGGTGGTTGGTATTGGCTCTTGATGGGCTTCTGTTTTCACAAGCTGCAAGGCATCTTCAGGCTTAGCCTTGGAAGTCACACACGATGACTTTACCACATTCTGTTGGTCCAAGGAAGTCACAAGGCCAGCCCACATTCAGATGATGGGGAAGTAGATACTACTTCTTAATGGGAGGAGTGGCAAGTCACATTACAAAGAGAAGTGCAGCATGGAAACGTCATTCATTGGGAGCCATTATTGTAAAAATCTACCCAATGCACTAGGATGGACAACCAGAAACTTATAAAAGGATTAGAATTTTCTAAATCTGTGCTATTTCATGCACATTATTGTTAACATTTATTCATGTCAAAATACCTCCTACAATGGCATGTCATTTCTGTTCAATTAGGAAAAGCTAATGCATAAGTGAAGTGAAGGCATAGTGGAGAGATAACCAAAGGAGCCTCTGATCTTGGCTTAAACCCAGATTCCTGCTTCTTGACTCACGAGAGACTCATCTGCTTTCTCTCTTTCAAGGAGATAACTTGCCACTATCAGTTTTCTGAATTTTGGGTGGTTGAAACTGGGTTAGAAGCAGATCTTTAAGCTTCTGCATCAGTCAAAGACCCTCACTTAAGTTATAGGAGAGACCATTCACCTTACCAGATTATGGTGATGAACTCTTTGATCTATGAAGCACCTCCTCTCTGTGGATTTGAGCTCTTCTCCAACCTCTATTCCCTTTACCTCTCTCTCTCTCCTTTTTAATATTCCAAAGAGTGAATGTTACGTGAGTTTTGGTATGTGTGAGTTGCAACCGATTCAGAGGAGTTTCTTGTCAATAATAACCTCGAAATGGAATATTCAGATTTGACGGCATCGCATCTTCCTTCAGCATTGCCGTGAAAAGTCAGGATTTGGTTCTTGAGGAATGGTTTCATAATCAAAGGTGGGGAGTAACTTGAGCCCAATAATAAGCAACAATAACAAGAGAAACAAAAGATACAAGAGCAAAGAAAGAAGTGATCTAACACTGTCCTCAGCTCCTGTCAGGAGCTAGGCACTGAGGTAGGCACGTAATCCACGTGCTCTCACTTGGTTCCAGAACTACCAGCAAGACAGTTACTTTAACCCTAGTTTTACAGATGAAAAATCTGCAGCTCGAAGAGGTTAACAATTTGTCTGAAGTCACACAGCAAGTAATTGGTGAGCTTGGGCTTTGACTAAAGTGTGTCTGATTTCAGTGTGTGTTCTGTCCATTTCACCAGGGTAATAGATTCATCTTCATAAACAGTAAAACCTCATCGAGAAAATCATATTCTCCATGTTATACAGGATTCTTTTCTTCTCTGTTTCATAGTTTAATTCTCGTGTTCTATGAATTCTTGAATCCGTGATGGTGTAAAGTACAAAGGATGTCATGATATCCTCAGCTCTACAGACTGTTTAAATTTCATCCTGACCTGCAGTGTTTCTTTTCCTCCCTTTGTAGCAATTGGTGATCAGGGAAGAATAAACATGCAAAATGCTAATCAGTCCATTAGGTTGATGGTTAGGTGTTTGTTAGAGAAGACAAAAAGAATTGCTAAAGCAAATTTACATTTTTTTAAGGGACTTCAGTTGCCTGTGTTATCCCCATCCACCACTATTCTGGAAAAGCAATGGTCCACATGCCGTGGTCAGCCTCCAGCCTCTCCTGGTTTTGAAAAGAATTCTCCTTAAAGGGAGGCAGCACAAAAACCCGGGGAATTCAATTTATATAAGTGTGAATATCTCAGAAATTTCTTTCCAAGGAAGAGAAAAGTTCATCTTAGGAAAATTTTAATTGGTTTTGCTTATTATTGCTAGCAATTTGGGAAACTAGCAAGGAGTTCTCTTTATCAGTTTGTGCCTCTGTTTAATGCTCATTCAGGCTTTCACTCAGGCTGTCTAATTGGGTCTCTGTCTCATGAAAAAAAAAGAGGGATGCATAAACCTGGGCAGTGATTTTGTTTCTAGTTCATAAAATTGCTTAGTTTAATTATAAATGCACTTGTATCTCATCGTAATTTATACATGTAAGATATTCACACCATATCTTTGCCCAGCTTCAGTGTAAAAAAACCAAGTCTTTCTATTTCTCTATCTTGCTATTTCTCCTGTGTCCTTAAATTGATGCTCACCGACTATGGGCTATATTGAGAGAGAGGAAATATATAATAATAATTAGGAATTGCAGTCTATAGAGTACTTACCATGTGCCTGGCTCTGGGATAAGACTTCTTATACCTTAATTCATTGAATCCTTGCCATATCCCTATAACATAGCTGCTACTATTTACTCCATTCAACCAACAAGGGACTTTCAGTTCAGGGATATTAAGAGTTGGCCAAAGTCAAACAAGTACTAATGATGGTATTGGGACTGGAAACTTGTTCTGTCTGACAACAAACTGTGTATTCTCAACTTCTATACTTGCCTTTTTAGAGAATTTTTTTAATTACAATTTTCATTTGCAATAATGGTAGATTTACATGCAATTGTAAGAAACAATACAGAGAAAATCCTGTGTTCCATTTACCCAGTTTCCCCAATAATACCTTGCAAACTATACACTATATTGTAACCAGGATATTGGCATTGATACAGTCAAGATACGTAAGAGTTCCATTACAAGGACCCCTCCTGCTACCCTTTTATGCACTCACTTCGCTCTCACTCCCATCCCTAACTCCTGGCAACTACTAATCTCTTTGCCATTTGTGTAATTTTGTCATTTCAAGAATGTTGTATAAATGGAATCATCTACTATGTAACTTTTG